TGACTTCCGAAGACTGAGACCAGAATGTCACTGATCCAAACTGTGGTCAATTAACTCAATATATGTTTTTGGTGCATTCAGATGATCCTCAAGAATCTCTCACGTTTAGAACTTTCCTGAGTTTACTTGCGTCATTTATGAAGTAATATTTTTCAAATGAATCATTTAGTCATGAAAATATTGAATGAAATATATCGAGTCACCATTGATGACTCTTTACTGAACAATGAGCGAGTTTAACAGTAAAAAAAAAAACAAAAAAAAAAATCTAGAAAGAAAAAGAGCGAGAAAGACAGAAAGAAAGAGATTAAGAAAGAAAGAGAGTAAGAAAGGTCCAGAAAGAAAGAAAGCAAAAAAGACAAAGAAACTAAAAAGAAATGTCCAGAAATAAAGAAAATGAGCGAGAAAGAAAGAAAGAAAGACAGTGAGAAAGACAGAAAGAGAGGAAAAAAAACAGAAAGAAACTACAACGAAAGGTCCAGAAATAAAGAAAAAGAGCGAAAAAGACAGAAAGAAAGTTCCAGAAAAAGAAAGAGAAAGAAAAACAGAAATGGGGAGAAACAAAGAAAGAGAAAGAAAAACTATAAAGGAATGGAGAGAAAAAAAGAAACAAAGAAAGCAAGAAAGGTATAGAAAGAAAGAAACTCCAAATAAATGGGGAGAAACAATGAAAGAGAAAGAAAGGATGAAAAAGAAAGGCAGAGAAAGGAAGAAACTAAAAGGAAAGGGATAGAAACAAAGAACGAGAGCGTAAAAGAGAGGTAGAGAAAAAAAAAAGAAACTAAAAGGAAAGGGATAGAAACAAAGAACGAGAGCGTAAAAGAGAGGTAGAGAAAGAAAAAAGAAACTAAAAGGAAAGGGATAGAAACAAAGAACGAGAGCATAAAAGAAAGGTAGAGAAAGAAAGGATGAAAAAGAAAGGCAGAGAAAGGAAGAAACTAAGTGGAAAGGGATAGAAACAAAGAATGAGAGCGTAAAAGAGAGGTAGAGAAAGAAAAAAGAAACTAAAAGGAAAGGGATAGAAACAAAGAAAGAAAGCGTGAAAGAAAGGATGTCAAAGAAAGGCAGAGAAAGAAAGAAACTAAAAGGAAAGGTAGAGAAAGAAATAAATGGAGAGAAAGAAAGACAGAATGAAAAAAGAAAGGCAGAGAAAGAAAGAAACTAAAACGAAAGGGATAGAAACAAAGACAGACAGCAAGAAAGACAGATTGAAAAAATTAAGGTAGAGAAAGAAAGAGTGAGAAAGATAGAAAGAAACTAAAAAGAAAGGGAGAAAGAAAGACCGAATGAAAAAAGAAGCTAAAAGAAAGAAGCTAAAAAGAATGGAAAGAGAGAGAAGAAAAAGAGTGTGAGAGACAGAATGAAAAATGACAGACAAAGAAAGAAAGACAGTACGGTCAAAGGGGGAGAAACAAAGAAAGACAGCGAGAAAGACAGACTGAAAAAAGAAAGAGTGAGAAAGACAGAATAACAAAAGAGAGTGAGAATGAAAAAGGAAGAGAGGGAAGAGAGGGAGATATAGAGGGAGAGAGAGAAACTAACTCACTCGCAGAGTCCAGCTTGTCCTGGCTGTGTCTTGATGCCACACGGTGAATCGCTCTGTTGAGCTCCTTCATCTTTCTGCTCCATCACTCCACAAGTTTCTGGTTCAGAGACGAGAAAACTTTCAAACACGAATTTGTCCTGAACAAATCAAACACGTGTTTATTTTACTCATATTAAAAAACGTATTTCTGTGTTGTACTTAAACACGAGTCTCAGAGAACAACGAGACCGGATCAGAAAACTGACTCCAGATAAGACGGGTAGATGCTTTACCAGTTTGAGTTCCATTAGAGGGATCCGTGTTGAACTCCACACCGCTCCTCTGGAAGTGGAAAAACAATCTATTATTCTAGAAATGTAGAATTTCATTTTCAGGGAGGAGAGAGTTACCAGCACGAGCTGATGTCGGAAGGAAATTTAAAAACATTTTTAAGTTAGTTTACTCTTATGTCATCAAGTAAAACCTGAAATGTTCTAGAAATGAAATGCATAAAACTGTTTAACCAGAGTTTCATCAGGGTTCATAGACTTGAGACTGATAAGAAAAGCTTTTTGAACGAGTGTCTATGGGGGATTTTCTGTCTTTCATTAAAACATTTGTAAATTAGAGCATCAGAGACGACCCCAACCATGAACAGCATGGTTACCTGCAGCAGGGCCTGGAGTCTCGGTGGTTCCCAGTCTCTAAGATAGAAGAGACAGTCTCGAGGGTGATGTGCATGTAGACCGGAGTAACCGCACTGAGGCGTCTTACATCCCGTCTGCAGGAGACACAAAATAAATTCTGATGAGCTCCAGAACTTAAAAAGTCTGCATCCTGTCCTGAAAAATGTTTTCTTGTGTTTGTACTTAAAACTGTACTAATGTAAATAACGAGAAGAGGTGTGAGGATTTGTCCAGAAGGACAACCGAAACAAACAACGGTTTCCTGTTGCTGTTTTGATCATTCAGAGGCTCAAACTGTGGAACTGTGACGATGTGCATCCACCTCACCTTGTGGTACGGGTTGTTGCAGCCGCTGCAGAACTGGTACCTGCACTGGGAGCAGCTGAAGTGCATGCAGCCGCCTTTCGTCAGGTCGTACTGGAACCTACAGTGAGGACAGGCTGCAAGAGAAGACAAACAATTGTGTTCGTTCTGTTAATGAAATACTAAAAGCTACATGTGGCAGGAGAGGTGAATCAGAAAGCTCGGGTCAGCAGGTGCTGATAAACATCTGCAAAGTATGAACGTCATTTTTAACTCCCTCATCTCTGTATCGGGATCAGCCTGTAAAAATCAGTCCGGCTCTAATTTAAGGAAAAACACTGGAGGACGATAAATGAGTAAATCAACCCAGTAACACTGAACGTTTTTTAATTAAAGCTCGAGTCAGGAGGTAAAAACACTGAAATGAAACTTGTGGTTTAAGGTAAAGTTTTCGTAGCGACTCACTGATGCCGTTGTCTCTCAAATAGCCGGCCAGGCCCTGCCTCTGGTACTCCGGATCGTTCTCCCTCTTCCACTGCTGGAACTGCTCACATGACAGATTCTGGTGCTGAGACTCCCACTGACACCAGAGAGAAAGTTTATGAGAGGGAAAGTCTCAAAGCTCCGTGTCAGAGGAACTTTTCATAACTTTTAATCAAATAAAAGTTGCTACATGTGATGAAAAATTATTTAAAAAAACAGAACTAATACTCACAGGTTTCTTGCACTTGGTACAAAAACTTTTCCGACATGACGGACAGGTGACTTTCAGCTGGTCTCCATCATTGATAAACCCAGAGATGCACTGACGACATTAGAAGGAGGAGAAATGGTGACTGTTTTACATTCATTTCAGTTATTCTCACACATTCACGTGTCATTTTTAGTCTCCCATTCCAGAATTCTGGTACGAAAGCAGTTGAATAATTGTATTTTCATTTGTTTTTTTTATTATTACAAGACATATACACAAACAATATTTGTTTGACTTTCTGATGAGACTATCTATAAGGATGTTAATCACTTTTAAAATAAAAAATCGTTAGTTTCACTCACGTGACAGCACCAGAGGAACTTTGGATCTTTCATGAGAGCGTGCTCGGTCAACTTTTTATGAAACAGCTCATACACATCACACTCCAGACAATCCCGCAGCTGCAGGGACAAAATGTTACTCAAACAATTCAAAGTATTATTATGAATCTATTCTGTATATCTTTCTTTATCTTGCAGTACTGTTTATGTCCCTCATTATTATTATTTCATGTAATTCTGTTTCTCTTACTTTGTTAGCTTAGGAGAGGTCTTTGCAAAAGCTATGACCGTCCTCCCTCTCCTGCAAATTCTACAAGCTAGTTACTTTTGATCCATGTATATCTGAGTATATGTAAAAGTCTGTTTATAAGTTGACAAGAACAGAAAATTCAACTGAAAGAAAAGTGAATAAAAACCTCAGGGAGACAAACGTGACATTAACATATCTATATATCCAGGTTGTTTCAGTGCTGCTGTTACACTGAATTCACTATTATTTCACTTGAAAACAAGGTAAAACATAATGTGAAAAAATAGCTGCTGTGTTTCAAAATTAATCAAATATAGTAAATAGAATAGGAGAATCAGAATAATGATGCTCCTCTTCCTCAGCTCACCTGTATGTCCAGAGTGGAGAAGTAGCTGTCCAGTTGTTCGGGGTCATTGATGTCCGGCTCGCCACAGACGGGACACACCATGTCTCTGATGTGTTTATCTCTCACAGCAACGGTGAAGTGCAGACCGAAACACTCATGACACACCGAGCACTGACAGGAAGTCAGAGACTGCATCTGGAAAAGAAAAACAGACGTGGAGGAAATGATAAACTCCTCTGCAGATGAGAGCAAATCTTCAGAAGTCTGAGTTAAAAGAATCAACTGAATATCTTACAAAATTAAATGGGGGCAAGACAAATTTGAATTACTTGGTTTCTGCATAAACCTAAATAGAAAAGCGACCTTGTCATCATTCAAGTCTTAAATATAAACACAATGTGCTTCAGCTAATGACAAAGAAATGATGATATTTTGTGCAGTGCTGGTGGAAAAATCCCTGGATTTGGCATCAACATCCTGAAGCATAAGTTTCCAGATTCGTTCGAACATCCCGTCACTGACTCACCTTGCTCCGAGGGAAGATGCACAGACAGCACGGACACTCATTGTTGAGGAGACGCCTGATGAAATCTTTGTCATGTGACTCCTTCACAGCTTGAACTACATCCTCCAGGGAGTACGTGACATCTGGCTCTTGAAGCAAAGCGAGCACAAGCTCACAGCGCCCCCAGCTGGGCAGGTCGTACAACGCTAGCAGACGCCTGCACATCCTCTGAGGGGAGGATGACAAGGGGTTAAAGAATAAAGAAGGTGGATTAAACACCACACCCAGGATATTTCAGTACACAAAACATTTTCACGTCAGCACATGTACAAGATGTACAAATTTAAAACCGCTGGCATCTGTAGATTACGCAACCTGTTTGTCCGGGTTTTTGGGATCAATCGGTGGCTCGAGCTGGGTGGTCCAGATACGCTGGTGGAAAGGCTCCAGTAGGGGGCGCTGAAGCAGAGACAAGGCCCCTTTGACCTCACCTCCACTCAGCCGCAGGGCCTCCTCACACTGGGCCACATCCCGGAAACCCAGAGAGTGGAGCTCCTTCATCTGGACACAAGGACACAAGGAGGAAACGCTCAGGCAGGTGTTTACAGACGTGATACATCTTTCTTCAACAGAACATGTCCTGATAAAAACCAGGAAGTGTCTTATACCATGGATAGACGTTGTAACCCTTTTAAAACCCACTGGTCTTGATCAGGAACTTTCTCCATGTTCACACTCACCAGAGTTACAGAGAACAGACGCTCAGGCAGTGAAGGAGGAACGTTTCTCCTCATTCACACCCACAGAACAATTACACTCACGTTAATCAAGCTGCTGGTTAAAGGTTAAAAAAAGTTGCATTACCTGGGAGTGTCTGGTTGACAGATTCATTTTCCTACCTTGGCCTGTCGGTCTCTCAGCAGCTGCGTCACGGCCCTGTCTGTGTCTCCTCCCGCTGCCAACCACGCCAGCTTAGCCTCGGCTCTGGACAGCTTCACATCTTCAACTGTGGCGTTGGGTTCGCTCTCTACCATCTCCTGTCCGTCTCTCTCCACCACGGCGTGTATCCCAGAATCCCCTGTCTTGTAGTTCAGCTGGACAGATGCCGCCATAGCGCAGATTTCATCCAGCAGGTGAGGCAGCTCTGACGTCAGCCAATCACAGGGGTTGACGTTGCTGCCGCGGCACACGCACAGGGCTGCGTACACCTCCTCTGGGCTGACACCTTGTTTTTCTGCTTCCTAGGATGGAGAAAGAGGATAAATCGTTGAGTATGTCTACATTTCAAGATGTCATCGGGTTTCATGTAATTTGATTGATTAGACGATATCATTTTTTCTTAACTTCTTAAAAAAAAAAATATATATATATATATATATGTATATATATATTTTCGATGAAGACTCGCCCTGATCTGGTGGATGAGGCTGAGTCCATCCTCCCTCATCATCTTTTGGCTCTTCAGCTCCAGGTTCACTCGGGGCTTCGCAGTAGGCTTCACACCTGCCTGAGTTTGATCCTTAGCCATGGACAAAGTCTGCTGAAGAGACTGAGGCACCGAGTCGCCAGGGGAGTCTTTACATGACAGGCTGCACATCTCACACACCGCAGTCGGCTTGGTGTTCACATAGGTGCAGAACTGACAAGTCCACTGTGAAGGAGACAGAAAATATTATATTTACCAGATTTTTAAGAGTTGCTCATCATTCAAACATTTTTTTTGCAGCATGAGATTAGCTCAGCCATTTAACTGCTCACACAGTATTAACTACCTGAGCAGGTAGTCGAGTTACAGTGAGACAAACCTTTGTTTTAATATCAGACTGAGATGCAGAGCTGGACGGGACTGGTGCGACAGGCGGGCGAGTGGCCAGACGAGGGCGCTCACACACCTCACACAAGATGCTGCTGCCTTGATTCACAACAGTGCAGCTCTTACACTGCCACTCTGAGGGAACAGACACACACAAGTACACACAACATTCTTACTGCTCCGCTGCATAATCCCATTATTTATCCGCCTGCCTTCATTCTTATTTTATTGTGTTGTCAGCTTAAGTGTTTTCATCTTTTCCCTCTTTAAAAGCACAGTGTGTAACTTGAGTTAATGACGTGCAGCATGAGTTAAGTTTATTGTTGTTTCGTCTTACTTGTGTTTGGTGAGGTAGGAACTGACGTGGGGCTTTCTTGAGCGGTGGATGCAGCCGTGGAGAGTCGAGGCCGTTCGCAGGTTGAGCAGAGAACAGCTCGCATCTCGTTCACTGTGGTGCAATGTGAACACTCCCAAGGCGACAGAGACGGACTGAAAGAAGACAGAAAAAGACTCACAGACAAATTTTGGAACTCACTGAACTCTCCTCCTTCCACTTTATTTCTTCCGGACAGATAACAGATGAATCAGAGCACAGGACAAAAGTGAAGGCAGAATACATTTTCAAGACCAGACATACTAGTCAGAGGTTTCTCCTGGTACTAGATTGTTTAGTGTGCAACTCTGTGTCGATAGTCAGTCGAGAACCAGGTGAACCAGGCAGTAAAAAAGGCTTTTAATATCCTCACCTGGCTGTTTTGGCTGCTGCGACGACAGATCTGTTGTGTCCTTGGCGGTCGGGGTGAGAGTGAAACAGTCGGTCACAGTTCAGACACAATCTCTGGACACAGGTGGAGCACTGAGACTGGACAGTGGAAACACCACAGATGCCGCAGGTCTCTGTGGGTAAAAAAAAACCACACATGACAAACAAGTTCAAAAACCAGACGGCAAAACAAAAAAAACAACTCTACTTCTGTTTTAAGGCCCGTTGTGATGTGGCATACCCAGTTTGCTTTTCTGTATTTTGTCTCTCTTGTGACTGGCTCTGGAAGGGTGGCGATGAAAGAGCCCATCACATGCGTCGCAGAAAGCCCGACTGTCACATGAGGAGCAAACCAGTGACGGAGGGCTACCACACAAATTACAAGCTGCGAGAGAGCCTGGACACACGAGCAACAAAGGATGGAAAAGATACAATATTCAATGTTACTGGTACAAATGAAGGAGCACATGAATAAACACAATGAAAAAAAAGAAGTAGACTTTAGACTCTATGCTCAACATTATATACGTATATAAAGAAACAACAAGTATGTAAAAGAATAAATGACCATCTAAGCCACATTTTGATTGGGTTTGACTTTTCGTTTCTGTGGTATGGCAGCAGCTCACCTGCTGACGGTTTCAGGGGCTGTCCCACGGGGCCCTGAGCAGGTTTGGGCGAAGGAGAGAGGACCTGTGGATTGTCTCCAGGCTGCTCCTCCGCAGGCGGAATAACCACTGGGTCACTCACCGCCACGACCTAAAGAAACAGCATCACAGTAAAAACGTTTTTCACGTTAAATATGTAAGACTTTGGAAGGAAAACTTAAATTGTTTTTTTTTAAAATTTAAATAAAAAATAATGACATTTATAGAAGATGTGGACGTAGATGTGGGGTAAATAAACATTTAGTAATAAAAACACAAATGTTTGTACAGACCTGCTGCTCAAGAAATGGGAAGATATCTTTGAAGAGTTCTAGGTGAGGATGGGTGCCCTGAACAAACAAATGGAATATGGTGAATCACTTAGAGAAAAACCTCCGATGTTTACAGCAGGGATGATTGACAACGTACAGACACAAACCTTAATGATCATGTCCACCTCGGTGCGTAAGGTCATGACCTCCAGCGTCACTGCGGCAACTTTTTCAGAGTCCGGCTCGCTGACTTCATCCGGAAAACTGAGGCCATCGATTTGCTGATTGGTGTAACCGTAGAGAAAGAGGACTCTGCGGCCTCCCTGTGAAAGGAAAGCTTTGTTCAAGCAGCTGGTTGACCCATAATCACACCACTGACTTTATAATTGAGGCACAAAATTAAGACTCATTAGCAAAAACAAACCCTCAAACTTCAACCAAAGTCTGATTCAAAACTAATTTAAAAACAAAATGACGCTGAAAGTTTCCTGTAAATTTTGGAAGATTTGCGCTGGATGAAATGTTGAAGAACTATTCAACATCTTCTCACCTTGATGGCGTCCACTGTGGCTCTGAAGACGGGGTTGTTGTGCTTGACGCTCCTCCAGTATCTGGGCCTGGCGGGGAAGGTCAGGTTACAGCCGTACTTCTCCAGAATACCCAAGGCCTTGACCAGTCTAGTCAAAGACTCCAGAACCTGTTGTGCAGATGAAGTTGCTGGGTCGGTAAAGTCCTTCGGGTGACAACACTTAAAGAAAGGTCGAGGGTCAAACTATATCTAAACAAACATGTCCAAGTCTGAATTACTTACAATCCTAATTATCACATTAACGCTGGCAGAACACTAGTTTATGTAAAATAAATCACGGCACATACAATGATTTTGTGTTGTACTTTTACATTTATCTGAGTAATTTTCATTCTAACAAGAGCTTTTGTTTCATTACATTAAGTTGTTATAAGTCTGACAAGTACAGTACAGACAAGTAAAGACTTTCTGCCCTTTCAATTTTTAGAAACATGTAAGATTTCCTGACTTCAAACGTTTTAAAGTTCTCCTGGCAGGTTAAACTGATCTGAAACAGAAATAGAAACGTGACCTCCTGTTTGCTGCGGCTGGCCGTGTTCTCCCTCAGCATGGCCTCGGCTGTGAGGTGGCGGTACTTCTCTGACAGAGGCAGAGCGATGCCCGCCATCGTCTGGACGTCAGCCTTCACATCCTGGGCTACTCCTGAGGAGGAGAGGACGGACTGGGCTCTCCTCCTGACCTCGTCCATCTGTACGGACAGAGAGCCGCTGCTCATCGCCGCTGAAATCAGACAAATGTATGATAAGTTCATTTTTAAACGATTTATCACAAAAACTGGAATTTGATTGCATCCAAATATTGACGCAGTATACGCCTCTTACTAAACGTAAGTCACTGATAGAGAATAAACAAACAAACGCAACACAAAGTGGTTAAAATGAACCACAGCAGGAAAATGTGAGTGGGTACCCTGTGATATACATTCAATAATAAATGTGAGAGACATTTTGCAGGGTTAAGGAATCACATTTTTTCTGGAGTTAAAGTATTTTAAAAAATGCGGAAAGTTAAAAAGTAAATGGGTGTGTCTCACAGAAGTATTATCTGCCTCCAACTTCCGAACTCAACCTTGGGTCCTGTGTGTGCTTCCCCTGACTTTACTCTATGTATAGAATAGAATACAAGATTAACAAACAGGCATTTCACTGCATTAACTCAACTTGTGCTCAGAATACTTTCAATTCTTTTGCAATCGCAATATATCTGTAGTGCTATAAATAACTTTTAGAGACATTGACAGTTTTCTTTTTAATGGCATTAACATTTTAAACCAAAGGCACCAGTCAGGATTGTTTTAAATTCAAATCACCTAAAACCCAGATCACAGTGACAACAGGTAAAGCGAATGAACGAAGCGTGTGTCGTGGGTGTACCTTTCTCAGTATGCGGCAGAAAAACAAGAGCATTTGATTTTTAATTCATCAGCAGATGATGCTAATCTGGGAAGTCCAGGTTAATAATAGTTTCACCCAGTGACAGTGAACGTGTGAGAACAGTAAGATAACGTCTAAGAAACTCGGAGCGACGTTAATCATCGGTTCAATCTCAAGAGGGAATCTGTGGCTCTGGGTTTGTGTCGAGTTGAAGTTCCACTAAAGTGAAATCACAGCTGACAACAACATTTCTCCAGAGTTGAAAGCGAAACTTTGACAAACATCGTTCGTGCTTCGTACCTGACGTCTTCAGCGTTTCCCCTCGCGGTTTGTTTCCGCCCGAACTACGCGTCGCTGCAGCTCCGCTAGTGACAGAAGATAAAATAAAATGTTTTAAGAAGCTGTTAAAGTCTCATCCTCACTCACTCCGGACTGACTGTAGCTCAGCTGCTAGCTTTAGCTTCAAACCCGGAAGCCCGCTCCAAGCTTTAGCCTCTCCGCTCCACTTCCTGTTTCAAAAATAAAAGCTCCTAATTAAAAAGCAGTCGTCTCCAAAAATCAAACTTTATTAAAAAAGTTCATCAAAATCTTAAACAAAGTTTTTTTTTTTTAACAAACTAAATAAATAGTAAAGAGAAAAGTTGAGTATTTCACAGGTTTGAATCTGGAGGAAGTCTGTGTGGAGGCTGCGAGTCACTGAGTGGCCACTAGATGTAAACCATTAAAATTATTAATTGGTGTTTAAAACATTATTTCGGTTTTTCTACATTTATGATATTAAACATTTTCATGTTTTCCCCGAATGTTTGATACTAAGAAGAGACGACGAAAACTAAATATAAATACAAGTTGTTGTTAAAATGATCATTTCTGTCTTTCTATTCTTTATTTATTTTTTTCACACTAATACCAAACAAAGAAACTAATAAAATCAAAACTGAAAATAAACATGATTTGTGATTTATGTATTTCTACGTTTTTAGGCAAAAAACTAAGAAACTAAGAAAAATTAAAAAAACAAATGATGAATACAGTTAGTGTAAAAAATATTATTTTCCGTTTCTAAACGTGTTCAAATATAATTTTGTATTTTAACATTTAATTGTTTTCATACTAAAAACAAAAACACAAAGAAAAGTAAAAACTAATTAGTGTTAAACATATCCTTTATGTATTTCTATATTTGCTTAAATATATTTGGGGGGATTTTTTCTATAAAAAATAAGAAACCAAAAATCTAATAAAAAAATTGGTGTTAAAAATATTCTTTATTTATTTCTACATTTTTTTGTTAAACGTATTTCTGTTTTCCTGTTTGTGTGGATAACTTCTGAAAGTTTTCTCTCGTGCAGCTGAAGTTGGTGAGAGTCAGTTCCGCATGTGACTGAAGGAGGGAGACAGTGGGAGGCGCAAACTGCTCCACTGGTGTAAAATCGAAAGTAACGTGGAGGAGGAAATACCCGAATCACAAGGTACCGACGGGATTATCTCACCTCGTAGATCCACTGTTCACACAGCTCTGCTTCACACTCGTTCGTCTCTTACTTGTTTTGCAGCGTCGTCATGTCCAAGGCACTGAACCTGAGGATCAGCCCGGAAGCTGCAGGGAAGGTGAGTTCAATCTGCTCAATCTGTTCAGGACACGGACACACACACACACACACACACGGTGCTGTAAAATAAATTGAACTGCTGTGAGGACACGTTCACTTGGTGAAACGTGAGACGAGTCCATGTAAACGTCTGGTAAAGTTCCATGGGAGAAGAAAACGAAAGTAAATCCAGTGATTTTCAGTTTTAAGTGTAACATGACTCAGCAGTGTGAATACTTTCTGTCTCGTGTTTCCTGCAGGTGGAGAACGTCCAGCAGCACCTGCACCATGAGGTCTGTGCAGCTTCTCATTAAAGTCACTCATTCAAACAGAAACCACGTTGTCCCTGCAGCTCTCTGAATAATCGGGTTGTTTTCCAGGCAGAGAAACTCTTCTCCACTGTCATCCCACAGAAGATCACTCAGCTGGACGCTCTGCTCAAGGTCAGAAAGTTCAGTTTCAGTTACAACACTCTTTGATTGGACATGTGAGACGCTCGATGAGGGACCTCTGTGAATCAGGCATCATTCATGCAGTTCCTGATTGAGCTAGATCATCTAAAGTCCTTTCTTTTTTCACTGAAGCTTTGAATCAGGCCACTCACCTTTGGAATGTGTTTCTCATTCAAGCGTTCCTCAAAAGAAGCTCAGAACATAAAAGGCCATTTGCAGACATGAACTCCGGAGGAAATCACACATGAACAACACAGCAGGAGATTCTCCGCTCAGCTTTAAATAAATAAAGTTAACAAGTTAAGTTAAAAACAGAAGTTAACCCCTGTGTTTCCTGTTCTTCGTTGACAGGACAGTGCCTTGAACCTGGACGTGTCCTCGCTCATGGCTCCGCTGGACATCCCCATTCCTGACCCTCCCTCAGCGGAGGAGGTGAGTGCAGAGCAGCTCCCAGCCGTCGTCACTCAAAACAACCTGAACAGAGAGAATTCAGTCTGTCACACGCTTCACCCACTGATTTCAGATTCAGTTCAAATCATCCGAATCAGTGAGTTCAGCTACAAACACATTAAATAATCCAGTTTCTGAAAACACACACCTCCTCCATGTTGGCAGATGGTACATGGACCAAACAAAAAAAATCATAGCACACGTTGAATACATTTTTCTTAAAGGTGGTTTCTGACATGTCGTCCATCTTTATTTACAGCATAGCAATGCTAACGTTGTTATGTTGTAATGATGCCACTTGTTCCATAGGATTGGTTCGTCTGAACAAACTAATCTGATTGGCTGTAAATGTGAATACAACTATAACACGTCAGATTCGTCTTTATGCAAAAGCAAACATGACTGTTGGTCGGTTGGTTGTGCAGGAAATGGAGACCGACAAGAATGAAGAGGGCGAGAAGAAGAAGAAGGGTATGGTGTTTTTAAAATTTTGTAAGTTGTCACAGTCGAGGCCGACATTTGACAAACACTGTGACTTTTCACCTGCAGCTCTGAAAAGTGGCTTCATCAAGGGGAACGAGAAGATCGTGTTGGCTTTGGACAAAGTGAAACCTGAGATTGTTGCTTTCAGGGAGATCCTCACCACAGTGAGTGCAAAGACGAACGCTGAGCCCAGGATTTGCAGGAACACACAGAACAACGTCCACACATTAAATATGAAAATGTTCCACAGGCTCAGGTGTTTGAGTTTAAATTCACATTTTACAAAGTTAAACTCACTTGTGTTGTTTCCCTTCAGGTTTCCTGCTGGATTCAACATCTCGTCCCACAAATAGAAGATGGAAACGACTTTGGAGTCGCCATTCAGGTGCATGTTCCTTCCAAAAGACTCCGGGAGTGTTAACGTTTCCCGGTGTTTTAAAAAATTACATCTTGATAATTTGTTAATAGCACA